ATCATGTCTACCTCCTGCCCTATTTGCGTCAAAAAAGTCTTTGATACCGAGGAAGGCGTCAGCTGCGATGGCCCCTGTCAACGATGGTTTCACAGGACTTGCATTGCTATGAGCAAAACAGATTACCAGCGGATTTCTGGAAATACCAACGCAAAATGGCACTGCACCAGAACAGATTGTGTGAACACTTCTAACCAACCACTCGCATTACTTACCTCCCAAATGTCCTCGGTACTGGGCAAACTTGATACTCTACTTGACAAAGTAAATAAAATTGATACCATTTCAAATGATGTAGCTGATATAAAGAACGAAGTTGCTACCATTCGTACTGGATTGTCAGCACTAGAACCTAGAGTGGATCAAATCGAGGTCAGGGTATCCCCAAGACAAAAATGCATCCCCCTCCACAGATCTGGAAACTACCATAGCTGAGCTAAACGAGCGCACCCGCCGAGCTAAAAACTTAATGATCTACAATCTGGAAGAATCATCTGTGGGTGATGTTGATGCCAGGAAAAAACATGATCTGGAATTGGCAATTTCCTTCTTCTCAACCCTCATTCCTAATTTCTCTAACAATGGGATCAAAACTTTCCGTGTTGGTGGTAAAAAACCTGACAAACCTCGGCCTCTTAAAGTTGTGCTTGGCAGCAATTCCGATGTGATCACTGCAATGAAGAATTTTGCCAGCTCTGGGACCATTTTGAATCCACGATTTTCTTCCGTCAAGCTATCCAGAGACAGAACTCCCCGTGAAGCCGCCCACCTTCAAAACCTCAACGCCGAATTAAAGGAACGCACCACCCGTGGCGAAAAGGATCTCACCATAAGGTTCCTAAACAACATCCCCCAGATTGTTAAAAATTCAAAAAACGAATAATTCCCAACGGCGCACCGCATCACCTCACTTGTTATTTTCAAAATGTGAATGGCTTAAGAAGCAAAATTTCTGAACTCTCAATCAGTGCTACAACTTCCTCCTACGATATTATCACCCTAGTTGAAACGAATCTCTTACCTGACATGAACTCTTCAGAACTTGGCCTCACTGGTTTTAACGTTTTCAGATGTGACAGATCTTTGGCCACGAGCAATAAGATTAGTGGTGGTGGTACTCTCATAGCAGTACGTGATCACCTAGCATGTCAACTTGTCCCCTTGCATGCCTGCTCCTCGGAATGCGTTTTTGTTACCTGTACTTCTGGAACCCGTCGCATCTTGTTGGGCTCTGTCTATATCCCCCCCAGCCAGCCTGCCATTGTCTATGCCGACTTCTGTGACGTGGTGGAGGATATCCTCTCATCTTCTAACTTCGTGGACGATGTGCTTCTCTTCGGTGATTTTAACAAACCTGAAGCGGACTGGGGTGAGCTTGATTCCTGCGAAGGCGATTCCTCTTCAAACTACCTACGCAACTTAGCTTATACTCACAACCTCTCCCAAATCAACAAAATCCGAAATCGCAGAGGTGTCTACCTGGACCTCATTTTTTCATCTACTCCTACAACTGCAGTTATCCGCGCTGACGACCTTCTTGTTGCCGAAGACATTCATCACCCTGCGCTCCCCTGCTCAATCCTGCTGCAGAAACGCTCAGCCTCGAGCGACGTCAGGATCGTACCTGACTTCAGAAAATGCAACTTGGACGCTGTATTTCGTGATCTGCAGAACGTTAACTATCCCTCACCTTCTTCTCTACCTGATGTCGAATCTGCCTTCTCTGACTTCTGCGACCACCTTGGCTCAATCATATCTCAACATACACCCACAAAACAGCTTCAATCCTCAAGCTTTCCTGCCTGGTTCACCGAGGAGCTAAAACGACTTGTCTCAAGGAAGAAGGCCACCCATCGACTTCTTAAAACCTCAGGAAATCTTCGTCATCGTGAAAGTTTTCGCAATTTGAGAAGCCAGTGCAAGTCTTTAGCCACCAAGTGTCATCGAGACTACTTAAAAAGAATTGAAGACGACATTCCTCATAACATAAAATCTTTTTGGTCTCACGTCAACAGACTCAAGAGCAGTCCATCCCCTGCTGCTAAACTATCATTTGATGGTAGAGAGGCTGAGAGTGCTGCCGGAAAGTGCGAACTATTCTCAAACTACTTTTCATCCGTCTTCACGGAGAACCAAATTCCCTCGCCTGTCTTCAACTTTGGCTGGAACTTCTCCATCACTAAATGTGTCATCACTGCCTCAGACGTTCAACTCAAACTTGCCTCGCTCGACCCTAATAAGGGAGCTGGTTCTGATGCTATTCCTCCGTGCGTTCTTAAATACTGTGCCCCTATTTTGGCTCCTCATCTGGCTATCTGGTTTACATCCCTGCTCTCACTTGGAATCTTCCCATCGGCCCTCAAGCGTGGCTTTGTCGTCCCCATCTTCAAATCGGGTGATCGTTCAAATGTCAGAAACTATCGGCCCATTGTCATTCTCTCTGCTGTTGCCAAGGTGTACGAGAGCATTGTTTTGGACTACCTCTATTTTCATCTCCGTAAATGTATCTCCTCCTCTCAACATGGCTTCCTGCGCTCACGCTCAACAGTAACAAACCTGATGGAGTTTCAAGAATACGTCATGGCCGCTTTTGGCGATGCTCTCCAAGGTGACTGTGTTTACCTTGATCTCTCCAAAGCCTTTGACAAGGTCAATCACAACATCCTTGTAGCAAAGCTTGCCGGATATGGTGTGGGGGGGGCCCTGCTTGAGTGGTTAAACAGCTACTTGACCAACAGAACCCTTGTAGTCAAGTACGACGGGTGCCTTTCTACGCCATTCAGTGTCCTATCTGGAGTCCCGCAAGGGTCCCACCTCGGTCCCTTGCTGTTTAACCTGTTCATGAATGACATTGGCAACGTCATCCTCACCAAATTTCTCATGTTCGCCGATGATATTAAGGTATTTGGCTCGGTGTCATTGGCTTCTGACTTTGAGCGCCTCCAACTTTCTTTCACTAACATCGACGCCTGGTGCAAGGAAAACTTCATGGAGCTCAACGTCTTGAAATGTGTCGTCATCTCCTACAAACGTGGTGCAGCCCCAGTCCAATATGACTACGTCCTCAATGGTTCTACACTGAAGAGAGTGGACAGGGTACGAGATCTCGGAGTGATAATGAACCCTTCGCTCAACCCTCACGAGCACATTGCCCACATTACAACCAAAGCTAGCTCCCTGCTTGGTTTCATATTCAGATCAACAAGGAATTTCATTTCACCCTTCACCTTGATCACGCTCTACAAGTCCCTGGTACGCCCGCTGCTGGAGTATGGGTCTATCATCTGGTCTCCCTTCCAGAAGAACCACGTCAGCCAACTGGAGAGCATACAAACCCGCTTCATACGGATGCTTGGACCGAGACTTGGTTTTACCTACCGCACTACCCCGGTTGACGATGTGGAGAAGTCCTTCGATCTTCTGCCTTTGTCACTCCGACGTCATCATGCTGACATATTCATGCTCTACAAGCTGGTTAACGGGTTTGTCGATTGCCCCAACATCCTGAGTGGTATCGACATTACCACACCCAGAGGCACCCGCTCCAGGACTATATTCAGCAGACGCTTTCTCCCAGCCTACTATTCTTACAACAGCGGAATTAGCCGACTACTCAAGGCTGGTAGCACGGCGGCTGCTCAGCTGGATTTCTTCGGTGACAAGCCCCTACGGTTCAAAAAGAAGGTCTCCCTGATCACTTGAGCAACCACACTACAGCACATCTGCATATTTGTCTTGTCATCGTTGAAACTTGCTGTTCATATTCTTTGTTGATACTCTTTTTAGTTTATTCTTCTGTTATAATATTTATAGTTATTTATTACGTTGTTATTACTATTGTTATCACTATTTATTATTACTATTGTTATCACTATTTGTTATTACTTGCTATTACTATTTATTATCACTTTGTTATTACCATTGTTATACTTTTCCAGTTAGTAATATTGCAAATGCCATCTCAATTGTACACACATATTTTGTAAAAAGGTGCAATCCGTTGGGAAATAAATAAATAAATAACACACGTTGTTATTCCACAAAAAAGCTAAAACTTTATAGAAGGGGTTTTGAGAAGTAGTTTTTTTAGAACTGATGTTTAAATACACTATTCCAAACAGTTTTGCATACGCCCAAAGGAGCCACAGAGAGGGGTGCGAGTTCAAATAATGAACACATTTGTGTCGACCACAAACAATTTGGGATACTGTATCTTGTTTTTTTCAGATGTATTCCAGAAGTTAGTGTACATATTTACAGTTTATCAAAGCTGACTCCACTTAAGTTATGTCACACATAAATTCTGTAGCATTTTTCACTTCATAATATGTTTCATAAAAATGTTTTGTTGCCAAATAATTCTGCAACTCAAATGTGAATCTTTTCCCAGTTACCACCTTGTAAGTACGATGCCCCGAGATGGAAGATAACTATAGCAAACCACGAAATATTTTGTGACAATATATTGATTTAAAAGCTTTACTTGGATTGGTGTGTGACCAGTGATACCCAGGTGTCTTAGGAAGTCACAACACAAAGCCAACTATAATATATTTCTCTTACCAAATAAACATTTTGTAACTATGTCTTTTTACATTTTCGTATCTTGGTCCCGGGTGCAACTTGTGATCCATAGGACCAAACTTTTTTGTGATGCGACAAAACCAATTTAGTCATATATGTTGTGCAAACTACGTGGTTTTACAGATTCATTCCTTGGTCCCGGCTGCAGCTTGTGATCCGTAGGAACTTGTGATGCAGCAAAAGCAACTCAATCATAGTTGTGAAATCACGTGATTTTACAGATTCATTCCTTGGTCCCGGGTGCAACTTGTGATCCGTAGTAGCTTGTGATGCCAAAAAACCAAATCAATCATATTTGTTAGATTCATTCCTTGGTCCCGGGAGCAGCTTGTGATCAGGAAGTCGTCAAGAGACAGATCCAACCTTATCATATTTGTTTGGCAATATACACATTTTGTAACCACGTGTTTTTACAGATGCGTTCCTGGGCCCGGTGTGTGACTACGTGATCGCACCAGTCGCCAGGTACGCGGGTCGATGGAAGTTACCAGTGTTGACTGCCGGGGCGCAAGTTGACCACTTCATGTACAAGACGGAGTTCCCCACTCTGACCCGTATGATGGGCAGCTACGTCCACGTGGGCAAGGCGCTGCTTCACATCCTCCAGAAGTTCAACTGGTCCGTGGCCGGCCTCCTCTACTACAACTACCCCATCGGCTCCAACAAAGGCAACTCCAAGTGCCACTTCACCCTGCAAGGGGTGTTCATGGCTTTGGGAGCTCGCTCCGCTCATCTCAGCTTCAATGAAACCATGAACTACCTTTACTACAAGGAATTACTCAGGGAGCTCTCGAAAAGAGCGAGGAGTGAGTCATTTATCATTTAGTATTTACTTTTAAGACACTATGATTATTAAATTGCATTTACTTGGTTTGTTGTTTTTTATCCCCTAACTTGAAGGGGGGGTTTTATTGCCTATCCAAAATAATTTAGAACTAAGTTATCTTTACTACATGAGAATTTTGGAACTATTTTAATGATTTACTGAACGTATAACTCACATTTTATTATTATCTCTAAAATCAAACATGCAGTGCAGTATTTTCATGGAGTATTTTGATAATTTGATACGTTTTAAAGGATTAATGGGCATTAGTATTAAATATATTGCAATTTTTAAGTCAAAACATCGGGTGTCCAAATACGTAAGCTAAGAGGAAACTTGGCACCAGGCGCCATGCAATAACGTGAGGTTAAATTTATGGAGTAATTTTTTCGCCGCAAACTCGTTTAGGTGTCATATACTGTATAACATTTTTACGCTTCCATCAACTTTTGAGTTTAAGAAGCCCAATAATTTACAAAGAAATAATAACATATATTGTATTGTTTAAATACTCCTGTTTAGAGTGACCATTACGTTAAAACGAGTAATTACCTGGTGTTAAGAAATGTTTTACCTAATTTAAAAATAAACAAAGATCTCATAACTAATACTTTTTTTGTATTTGCTATTATTTACATATGGATCTTACAAGTACGCGTTTGCCAAACCATGAGTCTTTTCACCATGTGATATTTAGGAATCGTCTGTAGATGATAAGTACAATGATAATAACCTTATAATATTAATCTGAAATAATGAAAAACAACTATTTAATGTGCATGGTGACTCCTGATTTAAAAACAAAAATGTCGTTTTATATAACGAAATCAATTTTATGTCTGTTAGCAATGATCAAGTGATGCACAGTAGTTGTCACCTGTAACACACAAAGCATAAGTGATGTGTACAATATATGAAAAATAAGAATATCTTGAGAGCAATTATGAGGAACGAACGGTATTTTTGAAAATCAGTTTTGGTGGATGTATTCCTAGGCATATAGGATAACAGGTTTTTATCGTTTCCAATATTAAATGACGCGTACATACATTGGGTGTCTTGTCGAACACAAAGACAAGACGTATAAGCCAGTACGTCATAGATGTTGTAGTGATTAGTGTATATACGTAGATGTAGCAGTAGTGGAGGTGGTTCTATCGAGTAGTGTGGGTTTGCACGTCCACAGGTGGTGAGAGATTGACATCCCCCACGTCTAAGCGCGGTGAGTCTGGCTGCATGACCATCGATGTTGTATTTTGTGTCTTAAATGTAAAGCTACTCATGCTGTATCTGTTCTGTTTGATCGTAAATCCCACTTAATGACGAGTTCTTGTAATGTTAAAGGACTTATAGGACACGGTTAAAGCACTTACATAGAAAAGTTCTTAAGATAGGCTACTTATAGACGCGGATCAGTCGACGGATCTTCTCGTCACTTAAATTATAAAGGATGCGTAATTGCCAATATCTGGATGTTCTATAATATTGTTTTGGGGAAAAAATAGTATTGTAAACGAGAGATTCAATTCCACCCACACATTGTTGAGAGCTTTTCTGTGCAAAACTGTTTACAACTCTAATAAGACAGACCTTTAAAAGACATACATCACTTAAAATAAGCCTTACTTGGCTATACAATCAAACTACTACTACTACCACGGGATAGCATAAAATCATTGGCAACTGTTAGGGTGTGCTATATAAATAAAAGTGCCACAGAGGCTTTATAAAATTTCCACTATCTACTAATGAAGTGATATGGGCTGTATAAACCAATAAGCAACATATTATCTTCAATAGAAGTATTAAGGGATAAATCAGAAAAATAAGACCAGTTATAATGTTGTAAAATCTTGGTAATGGCTACTTTTCTAATGGTTATGGCGCTACTGGTACTCTACTCAGCAGTTTCGCTCTGTTTATTGTCGTTTACCACCTCGGGGGAATATTCCAAGACTCGTTACTCTAACAAGTTGATGCTCCTAATTGTATTTCATCTTTCTTTTCGTTAAAAATCTGAAAATACAATTGTACAATTGTACCTCTATAATATTTAGTGTAATAGACAGATATACATCATTATCTAAGCCAAACCCTTTTAACATCCAAATACAAATATTGGCTTTGAAATTAAGGTTTTAAACAATATAATATTTTCCCGTTTTATTTTGAAATAAAATATTTCTTGAAACTTATGAAAATTATAGTGATTACTATTTTTATATACTATACACTATTTATAACACAATTATTACTATTTTTTGCTAATATTTTGATATATAAATATATTATTAAAAACTAAGTACCCTTTTAAAACCCATTATTAGTCATATTTTTTCTATCTCCTTATAGATTATGTTTGCAACTTATAATATTTGTGGTACTAAAGCCTTAACTAAACATACCTAGACTTAATTTTATAAACTAATTGTCAAAGTATACCAATTTCTAATTAATAGTCGTATATTAAGTTATATTTTCAACTAACGCATTTCAATGGTTCATTAGATAAATGTTCTTTGGTGTGATTGTGGATCAATATATTTTTAATATAAAATTTAAATTTCGGCAAATTCATAAAAAACATTTATACATTGTAATTTTCTTACTGTTTCAATTAAAAAATATCAATAACATTATTTTCATAACACTTAAGACACTTTAAAAATCTAAAATAGAGCCTAAGTTGATACAGCAACGCTTTTATAATATTTGTTTAATTCTATAGTCATTGGCATAGTTTTTGAATTAATGATCTTTGATAAACTTTTAGATTAAATAAACCAACCACATAATTTATTGTGTGTAATATTATATTTAATTTCATTGGATCAGCTGTCTTAAATATGCAATTTGGCAGTTCTTATTGTTCACATTGACATTTTAAAGCAAATGTAAACATTGGGAGTATTCTCATTGCAGCCATGGAGACCAATCAATATTTACTTTTAAAATCCTCACCTCAGAACTCTTTGCACCTATTAGTAATACACATACAGACAGACACCATTAGATTTTTATATAATAGTATAGATATAGATTTATTGGAATATTTTTATTGATATGCAAATGAATGTTCAATAAAAAAGTGTGAATCTGCTTCGACCTTACAGCTCAATAGGATTAAAGTGGACTGCTACAAAAACCTCGCAATCGTTGTTCTTGGCCGGTAAACAAGGAACTAATCCAATTATTGACTGATTAAATTACTCTGATGAAGTATCCTGACGTTTGCAGCCAGCCCTTTCCTGTAATTGTTTACACACTGTTTACATTGCGTAAAGAATATAACCATTAGTTAATTATCCCGCGAGTCCAATAGTTGAGATAAAACTTAAACATTTAATTTCCTTAATTTTTAGAACTTATTGAAGTCTTACATGGTCTTTATACTTTTCATCCTTATAGAAGCCAATTTTATAATGATTATCGGCCCAATCCATACACGCTTTATATTTTTCAAGAATCAACTATCTAATTAAAAGTAAACTTATAAAAATATTAGTTCGAAAAATATAGTTATTACCTCGGCAATGAGCATCAGAATTGAAAGAAAATAGTCTATGACAATTTCGAATTCAGAAAATACATTAAACAAACTATATCATTGTTTTAAACTGTAACTTTAATTATTGGTGTTGTTTACTTATTGGCTCTTATCAAAGATTAACCTTTTACAAAATTGTAGTTTCTTGTAACAAAATTGGCATACAACTATGAGTACTCTTTGGAAATTTTTTACTTTTAATTAAAGATTTCCGATAGTTGGAAAGATAAAGTTTTTGAACCTCTAAAAGGGAAACAACATTCGTTATATTGTGTTTTTAGCCTTTGACTTCAGCAGAAGAACATTTTCCGATTCCCGACAATCGAATCAATAGGCGCGACTCAAATCTCTTGCCTCGAGAGGGTTTTGTTTATTTTCGTGAGGAGTGAGAGATTCCACTCGACGCAATTTCAATTATATTTAAGTTTACTTCCCCTCTATACATTTATCTGTTTAGAGGTAGTGGGTATGCAATATATAATCTAATTATACATGAAGCTGCTCGTTCGTGGACATGTATTAATTTAACTTACCAAATTCAGGAAAACTTCTTTATCATAATGTTAATTCCATCGAAATACAACCACACCATGGTAAGTGTCTAATAACTGGACGTACTAGAGATGGCTATCATTTGCGATGGAGTGTGATCGGAAAATCACTTAACTAATGGAGTATGGAATAAATATGATCACTCTGCTGTACAGTATTACTATATAATACATAACTTTTTTACATACTCAGCTAGGTCAAAAAGGTCAAATCGTGTTATCAATTTGTAGCACTTGTATATATGTGATTGGTAGAACTGGTATTTATCATGTTGCTTCTTTGTCTATTTCTCCACACAATAAAAATACTGTTATGTAAGACAATATGTCAAACTTTCATTCTGAGGATCTTCCAGAAAATATACTCTTTTCCGGTTATTTAAAGTTACTTATAGTTTTAGTTTTTTTACCTTAAGTTTAGGCAAAACAAAGACTTTTAAGTTATTCCTACTGATCCTAGGGTAAAAAGGCATACATCACACCGCATTATTTGTAAAAGTGCGAGAATACATTATTCTTGTTGGCATACGCATAAAATATTCAAGACGATATTTCATTCAAATGTTAATTGGAGTGTGTTACGTTTGAGTATATGAGTATTAAACCCGACGCTAATATTAAGCACAATATAGTAATGGTGATTTCTAAAATTTCCTTTCATAAAGTTTTCTTAAAAATAATGTAGTGATATTTCAATACTAAGTGAATGCGTACATTTTCTAACTCTGTGGTCGGATAAGTTGTGTAAATTACTTTCAAACTTTATTAAAGAATTACAAAATTTTTAAAACATCGTTCCTATTGCATAACAAGCCTTATATGTGTTTTAACCCAAGGTAATTAATTTAGTCAAGAAAAAAATTGAGTTGAGCAAAACTTCCA